TCACCATGGGCTTTACGGGGTTCGGAAAAAAAGCCTGCACATTTGACTTGGAAGCAATGTTTGAACAGACCCGCAGAACAGCTGTTGAAAGAAGTCGGAAAACACTGGAAGCAAGAGAAAAAGAGGAAGAAATGAACAGAGAGAAAGAATTAAGAAGGCAAAATGAAGATACTGAACCAACATCTTCAGGCTTAAATGTGGTCAGAGATAGCTCAAAATCATCCTCCAGGGATACAAGCAGCAGTGAAAGTGGAGACAGTTCTGATTCTTCTTCTGATGAGTTAATTGGCCCTCCCTTGCCTCCCAAAATGACAGAAGAACCAGTTAATCTTATGGAAGAAGATATCCTTGGTCCTTTGCCTCCACCACTTTCTGAAGAAGGGGAAGATGACGACAATGATGATGATTCAGAAGAGGAAGAAAATCCTGTCCAAAAGATTCCTGATTCACATGAGATAACATTGACGCATGGCACTAAAACAGTTTCTGCTTTGGGTCTGGATCCCTCCGGTGCCCGTTTAGTGACTGGAGGATATGACTATGATGTTAAGTTTTGGGATTTTGCTGGAATGGATAATTCTTTTAAGGCATTTCGATCCCTTCAGCCTTGTGAATGTCATCAGATCAAATCGCTACAGTACAGTAACACAGGAGACATGATTCTTGTTGTATCTGGAAGTTCACAGGCTAAGGTGATTGACAGAGATGGTTTTGAAGTAATGGAATGTATAAAGGGAGACCAGTATATTGTGGACATGGCCAACACCAAGGGTCACACAGCAATGCTTCACACTGGCTCATGGCACCCCAAAATCAAGGGAGAATTTATGACTTGTTCAAATGATGCAACTGTGAGGACATGGGAAGTTGACAATCCAAAGAAGCAAAGAAGTGTATTTAAACCACGGACGATGCAGGGCAAAAAAGTAATTCCCACCACGTGCATGTATAGTAGAGATGGAAATCTCATAGCAGCTGCTTGCCAGAATGGAAGCATCCAGATCTGGGACCGAAATTTGACTGTCCACCCCAAATTCCACTCTAAACAAGCTCACGCCCCAGGTACAGACACGTCTTGTGTGACCTTTTCCTATGATGGCAATGCCCTCGCCTCTTGTGGAGGTGATGATACATTAAAATTATGGGATGTCCGACACTTTAAAAAGCCACTTTTTTCAGCCTCTGGTTTTCCCACCTTGTTTCCAATGCCTGACTGTTGTTTCAGTCCAGATGATAAACTCATTGTCACCGGCACATCTGTTCAACGGGGATGTGGCAGCGGTAAGCTTGTTTTCT